AGGTTTGTGCCATTTTTGAAAATGATGCTAATTTAATTCTATTTTTATATTTTAGAGCCACCATATTTTGTAGTTACTCCATCAAGCAATTTAGCTTGAGGCTATAATGATGCTATTACATTAAATTGTTCATCTGGTGGAGTACCTTTACCAAATATCACTTGGTTCAAGGATGGTATAGTTATACCTACTGATCAGTATACTAGTAGTAATACATCAGATACAATCGTTACTATGCTCACTGTTGTGGGATCATTAACTTCAGATGGACTTTATACTTGTCAGGCAGTCAATGATCTAGTTGAGAGGAGAATAATAAATACTACAGTCAATGTTAATGTGTATGGTAAGTATATAGTGGTAATGTTAAGTCATTATTTACTTTGCATTATAGAGCCTCTTGATTTTGCTTCGACTGGCCTTAATTCAAGCTTTGTAACAACTGTAAACCAGTCAGATACTTATATTTTTCATTGTAGCTTCTCTGGTATCCCTTTTCCAACAATAGACTGGTCTTTTCAGGGTTATTTTACAAACATTACTTTTCTCAGTAACAGCAGTAGAATCTCCTTTACTACTGATACTCAAGGCATTATTATAACTTCAACTATAACAATAAAGAATGTAGATAAAGCAACTGATGAAGGATACTATGAATGTAGTGCCTTTCAACTCAGTGAATCTCGTTTTTATGATGGATTTATCTTAATTATTGGTTAGTTTTGAAAAGCAGGGTAAACATTTTATATTTAATTTATTTCTAGTTTGTAACAATAGCTGTGAACCTGGTTATACACTTGACAATAGCACCTGTACTTGTTCACTATCAAATATATGTGAACTGGGTCCTTGTCAGAATGGAGGCAGTTGTACACTAGTTTCAGCTCCTTCCAATTACACCTGTGACTGTACTGGTACTGGCTATCAAGGAGTTAACTGCACTAACTGTAAGTAATGCACAGTATCAATATAGTCTACTTATGCTCTTAAATTTTACCTGCATACAGTTATATGCATAGTATAAATACATTATCATTTTTGGTTGCATATTGATTTGTTTTATGAAAAAAATTCATTTCTTGTATATTCTTTTGTATTATAAATGTTTTTCACTAGTCCTTGGAATACCTCCAATCATCACTGCTCCTGAACTAAACTATTCTGTACTAAATGGATCCAGTGCTACATTGACGTGCACACTGGAGAATGTAGGCACACCAGTAGCTGCAATAATATGGAGATTTAATGGGAGTACTCTAAGTAACAGCTTCAAGTATACCATCACCAACAGCACATCTAACAGTGCCGGCTCAACTCAACTACTGATCAATGATGTGGTGGTGTCTGATGCTGGTGTTTATTACTGTCAAGCTAGTAATGGAGGAGGAACATCTGCTGCAGGAATCACTCTTAGTGTACAAGGTATGAATATTTTAATAATACTTTTTATTATTACAATTAAGCAATGACAATGAAAATTTGTTATTGTTATTATTTTATTTTTGTTGTTGTTATTGTTGTTATTGTTATTATTGTTGTTGTTGTTGTTATTTTAGTTCCTCCATCAATCACATCTATTTCAAATGAGACACAAGTACGATATAAAACTGTTTTGACATTGAACTGCACTGCTAGTGGTGTACCAAGACCAGTGGTCACTTGGTCAAAAGATGGAGGGGAATTACCTAATGAACAAATTTTAAATAAAATTCTGACTGATAGTGTTTTATCAAGTGCCTTCAGATTTGAAGGATCATTAACATCAACCGGACAATACACCTGTACTGCAGTGAATGATTTAGTAGAAAGAAGAGTAGCCAGTGGAACTATAAATATACTTACATATGGTAAGACATACAGGGTTACTGCTATATTCAAACTTTCATTTTTATAGAGCCACTTCAGTTTAATAAAGGACTTATTGGAAATTATTCCATTCAATCTGAGCCATACACAGCATATTGTAACTTCACTGCTCTCCCTCATGCTAATGTATTGTGGGCACGTGATGGGATTACTCTCTACAGCAATACTGATCTT